CTCTGTTTCCTCACCGTGTGAGTCTTACGTGTCATTATTGATATGACTTTCATTTATGTACCCTTTTATGACTTTTGACTATGTCATAAGGTAAGGGGTTAATGTTCTACTACTTTGGTATGCTGCCTGCGGTCATGTATGATTCGGCCTTAAGGGACATCATTGGGAAAGCGGTCAATCCTAAACTAAATGGCATGAGGGCAACGGGAAGATCATCTAGTATTACACCACTGTTGTATATTCACTGCCGGCAACTCACATCGCTCTGTATGAGAGGCGGATTGAGTGTGAATATATTGCAAGAATTGAGAGGGTCAAACATGCTTTTTTTTAGGGATTAGAGATGTTTTTCGGACCGGTTTAATTAGATAGGTCTGAGATATATGAGACACTATTTCTGTTCTTTTTGGGTTGATGTCTCTATGCTGGCTCATTTTGAGTTTCTAGTGTAGAGCTCCCACGTGCAGGTGTTCTCAGCAGTCGCACGGTGCATTGGCTAGTATGAGATTGTTCTTTTTTGGAGAGATTGAGATAGAGATGTGGCAGTGTCATGCCAACTCATGTGCGAGTGGGAGATGTTAGAAATTGGGTGCCCATGTGGCATGACCCTTTGAACCTTTTGAACCTGAACCTTATCCATGTAAGTTTGAATTTTAATTCAAAACTTATTTGGATAACCATTCAGGATATCTATATCTATCATATCAATAGATATGGATAAATGGATGGATAGATATTAGTGGTTATATATCTGATTATATATTTTAGACAATATATTGATATATCAGATACGTATATCAGATACGTTATGTAATTTTTTACCCATAACCTTTTTTCCAGACTCTCTCTCTGACTCTCTCCCATTAAACAACGATCAAACCATTTTGCACTGTGACTTGTGTGGGTGATACTCATTTTGTAGTATCACTCCACTGCTGGGTTCATTGTTCAGTTTCTAGAAACACGTGATTTATTCGCGAGGTTCTATCACCTAAAGGTATGATCTAAATATTTTTCCCACTGTGTTATAATACTTTATGTTTTACAAAGTACTTGTTACCTCCATGAGTTGGTGTATCCATGGGTCCGCACACATCGGTATCGACAAGATCCAATGGTGCTTTAGTTCTCCATGCTTTCTCCTTTGGAAATGACTCCTGGTGATGCTTTCCAAGTGCACAACCTTCACAAATATGTTGCACTTCATGAATGGTCGGCAACCCAAAAACCATGTTCTTTTGTTGTAGATGCTTCAAGCTTTGAAAATTCAAGTGCCCAATTTTTCTATGCCAAAGCCATGAATTATCAATCACATCCATCTTCAAAGCCGCTTTTTTGCTATATCGAAAAATGAGAGGAAAACTTCTATTCTTCCCCATCTTGATTTTTTCTATAACTTGGCTTCTCCCTCTGTCAAAAATTTTGCAAAAATCGTCTTCAAAGTGAACAAGGTATCCATGCATGATCCATAAGTTGTCCAACACTTAGCAAAATTTGCTCCAAGTTTGGAACTAAGAGAACATCATAAATGAATCTTGTACCCATCTTGGTTTCTATAGCAATAATACATTTTCCTTTTGTTTGGACTAAGGCACCATTCCCCATTTTTACTTGAGAACTAGAGGAAGCATCAATTTTCACAAAAATGCTCTCATCTCTTGTCATGTGATTGCTACATCTGCTATCGAGAAACCATACATCCTTGTTTTGATCCGATGGCTTGTGACAAGCATAGAACATGTGCCCTTTACTTTCTTGCTCCTTGGAAAAATTAGCTTGTTGAGTGCTCTTGACTTGGCAATCCTTCTTGACATGCCCAAATTTGTAGCAATTGTAACATTTTGGCTTTCCTCGAAACCAACAATGTTTATCAACATGACTGCTTCGGTTGCAAATTCCACACTTTTGTTGAGTGGACTCTTCATTTTCCTTTCTTTGAAAATTAGACCTTCATCTTCCTCTTGCTCTTGCATTTCTTACTCTTCTGTTTGCATTTCTTCCTCTTCCACTTCCTTCGGAATTAGAAGTACTAACATTGAGCTTGGACTGAAAGGCGCTTTCAATTGACTTTTTAGATTGCCTACTCAACCTTTGCTCAAATGTTTTAATTGAACCCATCATTTCTTCAATACTCAAATCAACAAGATTTTTAGTTTCTTCAATGACAGCAAACAATAGGATAGTATTTCTCCGGAAAACTTATCAAAATTTTCTCAACAACTCTTTGATTAGTAATATTATCCCCATGAATTTTCCTTTGGTTCACAAGTTCCATAACTCTAGAAAAATAATCATTCAACAATTCCATATCCTTCATCTTTATATTTTCAAAATCTCTTTTCAATGATTGAAGTTTGATGGTTCTTATCTTTAAGTTGCCTCTATACTCTTTCTAAAGAATATCCCATGCCTCCTTTGCTTTCGTTGCATTGATAATTCTTGGAAAGATTGCTTCATAAACTCATTGTTGAATCAAAGAGAGAGCCTTTTAATCCTTCTTCCTTTGCTCTTTCAATTGGTTCTTTTGGGGATTTGTCAAAGCTCCTTCATCTTCAGGTTCCTTGAACCCATTTTCAACAAGATCCCAAAGACTTGTAGAGACAAAAATAGTTCTCATTTTCACATACCAAAAATCAAAAATTTCACCATTAAAGATAGGAGTAGATACATTTTGGTTGTTGGAATTCGCCATGGACGTTGGCTTGTTCTTTTTTAAGGCTTGTTTTCCCGTATCCAATCTTTATGCCTAGCTTGTTCTTCACCCGACCAAAGCTCTGATACCACTTCTGTTAGCTTTTGATAAAACTCTCTCTAGAATGAACTATTATTTTATATTGAATTTTTCTCTTATTCATTTCTTTGCCCATAGGCTTACATCCTTTTATAGAGAGAAGGTTATAAATAAGTTTAATGAACAACCTTACAACTAACTAGGTACATGAATATAATTTAGACAATGAACCTAATAAATATAAATCGCATGAATATAGAAATACATGAATACAAAGAATGCATGAATGCAATGTATCCAGTGTATGCAATGTATGCAATGTATCTAATGTATACAATGTAACTATGGCATTAATTTTAACAAAAGCTTTTGGTCCAGCCATACTTCGAGATTCGGAAGGACGAATGGTGGATGGATTGACAAGCTCATTTACCTCCATATTTTGCAGGCTAAAGCTTTCTCCCTCCGTCTGGCTTGCCTTTTGGCCAAAGCTCACAATCTCTCTTTCGTCGAGATAGAAAGTGATAATCAAGAAGTCATCAAGCTATGTGTTTCAGAATTAATACCCCCTTAGGAGATTATGGCTATTGTGATATCCGTCACTCAGCTAAGACCAGACAGTGGAAGTTTCAATGGGCCAGAAGATCCTCAAATGGAGTTGCACATTGGGTGGCCAAGACGCATGCTAACCTTTTGCTATCTGCTAGTTGGGTGTCTTGCCCTCCACTGGAGTTAGTCTCTTTGCTTTTTAGTGATGTAAACAGTGCTTTTGTTGGACAATCAAATTACTTTTACCGTTCAAAAAAAAAGAAAAAGAAATTATGTTTTTGCCAATTTGAATACTCAATGATGCATATATCATCCGCACAGTCTCACAATATAAATCATAAAACATGAACACATTGATTTACATGAAACCTTTTGAGAACAACAATCCTCTCATGTAAAAAAGCACTGACACCACTCTAGCTATTAGATATTGGATTGTATGGGGTGAGCTATATATTAGCCATATATATTTTTTTAGTGATTTTTTTTTATTTTAAAATTATGTTTAAACTTTTTACTTTTCTAGTTCATCTTGTGTAGACGAATCTAAAAAGTAATTTTTTTTAAAAAAAAAATTTATAAAAAAAAAGCCAAAAAAATGTCCAATATTTTATATTTATTTGTCTTTCACGACCCTTTTTTGAATTTTTTTTATTTAATATTTAAATTTTTTGGTTCATCTAGTCAAGCTGAATCTAGAAGCCCAAAACCTTTTAAAAGCAAGTTCACTAAAGATGAAAGTAATAAGTCAAAAAGAAAAATTCTAAACATATATAAAATTCATATAAAAAACTTGACAAGAATGATATGACATTGCTATTATTGTAAATAAATTCAACTTCAATGGTATTTTGTTTTGAAATGAAAGTTCCATAATCAGCCACATTATTATGTATGTAAATTATGTATGAGTTTTTTTGTTTGTATAGTATTACTTAGTTAAAAAATGAGCTCATTTGGCAACATAATTAATAAGCTGCTTGTTGGCTTGTTGACTTGGGCCTCATTTGAGAATATATTATTTTAGTAATTTTTTGACTTTTTGGCTAAAATATGAGGTAAAAAAACTAGTATCTTTGAAATGACTTTTTGATTTTTTATGAAAAGATGTGCAAAAAGTAGAGTGAAATAGAATCTATGACTTTTTGGTATAGGTTACAGGCCTTTTGATTTTTTAGGAACTTTTTGACTTTTAGACTAAAATAAGCACATGCCAAACGAGGCTTTATTCGAATCATGTCATTCTCTACTTTTCTGCATGACTTGTTGTAATAAGAAAAAAAAAGCTAGCTTATAAGCCATACTCAAAACAACAAAACTTTGATAAATAGAGTAGAGAAGTTTTTTGTTTTTTTGTTTTTTGTTTTTTTGAAAACTCATTATCTAGCCATTGGATAGAGTAATCCGAGAGACCAATCACACCATCCACTTGTGGGGGTCTCAATTAAAGCCAGGGTTTTGTCATGTATGGATTGGCTCAAAGAAATTGTTTATACCTAAGAGGTTTCAAACCTGAGACTTTAGAAGGAGCACACTCACAGGCCCCAACCCTTGACCACTAGGCCAACCCCTAAGGTTAAATATAGTAGAGTATTATGGCTGTTGCAGATTTGAATAATTCAATCGTCATGTAGATGTGAATAGATAGAAAGATAAATAATTCTAGAAATAGTTGGTTTAGACTATAATTAGTACCAAAAATTGAAGATGTTTCAAATACACCTACTATAGTGTTGGAATTAAAATTGAAGCACTTTATCAAGAAGTTTAAAGAATAGAAAACATGTTCATGGGTAACTTGTCCTAGCCAAGCCTTCTAAGGACAAGTTGAGAAGTACACTCCTATGTGATATCATGGACTCACACATTTTTCCATTAAAGGAAAAGATTTCTAAAAGAGAAAGAACCGAAAGCAAACAAATCATATAAAAATGTTCATCACTTCAATCTCCTCTATCGTGGGTATAACTCGGTAATTGAAGCTTCGTTGACTGACACAAGAGACAATGGTAACTCTGGATCGATGCTACTACGCACAAAAAATGCCGGTTCTGACGATAGTGAAAGGGTGAGAAAGAAGCTATTAAGCATGAGAACAACTGCAGCCATGGTTGGTCTGGTAGCTGCGTTTTCCTGTACACATAGTAGCCCAATATGAATGCATCTTATCATTTCATGCAACGGACCCGAACCATTCCTTAATGTGGGATCAATTATATTCGAAGCTATTCCTTTCTGCCAACTTTTCCAAGCCTGCAAGAATTCAATGTATGGAATAAGCTTTCATGGCCTATAAAATTTCTTGGTATTGGTAAGTTATCATGGATATTCATACTTACATAACATAAAAGGTCCTCTTCATTCTCTCCACTGCGAAAACAATTGTTCTTCTGACCACTCACAATTTCCAAAATCAAGACACCAAAACTAAATACGTCTGACTTGACTGAGAACTGGCCACGCATTACATATTCTGGAGCCATATATCCGCTACATTTTTTAATAAATAAGTTTCAATAACAAATTACAATAATGATGTGATGACAAAATTTCTATATCAAAAGTTGCATAAATGATGTATTATCACTATGTTTGTAAGATTCAAAACCAGCTCATGTTTATGATTATAAAACATGATTTTATTTGTGTTTCTTATTCAAATCAAATTTCTTTATTTTTATTTCATTTTATGTTTTTGCAATGCTTGATCAACATATGACCCAAAACAATTTTGGAAATGAAGTAAAGGAGAATTTGATTTATAATCATAAGATGTGGATAGAGTTAAAACTTACTAGGTTCCAACTATTCTGTTCGTATTTCCTTGAGTTTCATCAAGTACAAATAATCTTGCCATGCCAAAATCTGAAATTTTGGGCTTCATCTTCGCATCTAACAAAACATTGCTAGCTTTAAGATCACGATGAATAATTCGAAACCGTGAATCTTCATGAAGATAAAGAAGTCCTCGAGCAATGCCTCCTATGATCTTGTAACGCTTATCCCAATCCAAATATGCACGGTTGATGGGATCTACAAATCCATATAGTTGAATCTAAACTCAATTGAATTAATCTTTTAAATGTGTTCTTCAATAATTTGAGTTTCGGTTTATATCAAATGATTAAATTGTTATGCAAATCAAGATACATAGTGTTCTATGTTTGACACAAAACTATGAAGTGTACATATTTCAAATATTTGTTTAAATGATATATATGATGAGGAAGAGGTCCAAGAGGTCCAAGAGGTGCATCAAGTGTAATGTGCTGCAGCTGTAGACAATATTTTCCTTAATAGAGTGTAACAGATTCAGTTAGCTTAAACTGTAGATTAGTTAGAAGTGTGGTTAGTTAGCTTGTAACAGTTTGTAACAGTAGGTAGTTAGAAGTGTGGTTAGGTTAATTCGTTTGTTCACTATACTGATGTATAAATATGATTTGTAATCTCCTATTATATTCAATGAAGATATTTTAGATTTCAACTTTACCTTTCATCATGGTATCAGAACACTAAGAAGCTCTCGTGAGCAATTCTCAAGATTCATCTATGGAGCAATTCTCAAGATTCATCTATGGAGTCCTCTGTTATTCCTTCAAATCTCAATCTCCTGCTATCGAATCTCAATTCTCTTGTAACAGTGAAGCTGGATGGCTCAAATTTTGTTATTTGGAAGAATCAAATGCAGAATCTGCTTCGAGCAACGGATCTACTCGCCATTGTTGATGGCTCAAAGAAGTGTCCTGTTGACATAGTGCGACAGTCTGCGGGAATTGAGATTCCAAATCCAGAAGCTGTTAGATGGAAGATGATTGATGCGCATCTACTCAGTTGCATCACTGCTACTCTCTCTCCTGTGATTTTCACTTCTGTGTTACATCTTCACACCAGTGCTCAGGTCTGGCAGTTTCTTGATAAACGCTTTACCTCTTTCTCTAGGTCTCATATCCACCAGTTAAAGAACAAATTACGTTCTATTTCAAAGGAATCTGACTCAATGGAAGTGTATTTGAGCAAAATGAGAAGTATTGTTGATCAGTTGAGTATTGCTTCATCATTTGTAGAAGATGAGGATATTGTTCTTCTTACATTGAATGGATTGCCTTCTGCTCTACTCTGTTCAGAAGCTATTCACATTGAAGAAAAATTAAAACAAAATTCTGATCTCACTGTTGCTTATGCAACTGTGAAAGATTCTAATACTTCTAGAGGATTTAACTCTTATCATCATAATAGAGGTTCGTCTCGTGGTGATTCTAGAGGTTCTCATAGAGGCACTCAATTCTATTCAGGAAGATCCTCTCGTGGCAGATCTCAAGGAAGAGGACAATTTGGCATTGTTTGCCAAATCTGTGGTAAAGCCAATCACACAGCTCTTGACTGTTGGCATAGGCTGGATACTCAATTTCAGTCTTCACAAGTGTCTTCATCACAGCAATCAAAGCCATATCAGTCTCATTCTCAGCCATATCAGTCTCAGCAGTCAAAGGCATATGTTACCTCTTTAACTGAGGACAATGGTTCTTGTTCTCCCTAGTTTTTGGACTCAGCTACTTCTGATCATATCACTAATAATCTTCATCAACTTAACTCCATTCAACCCTACACTGCTGGTGATGAAGTCACTATTGGTAATGGCTCTTCCCTTCCTATCACTCATACAGGCCAAGGTATACTACCTACTCCTCACCATTCTTTCAAACTCAACAAAGTTTTGCATGTTCCTTCTATTAACTCTAATCTTGTCTCTGTGCATCACTTGGCTAAAGATAATAACTGTTCTATCACATTTGATCATTCTTCCTTTACTATTCAGGACAAGCTTTCTAAGGCCATCCTCCATAAAGGTTTTTATGCCAATGGACTATATCACTTTCACACTCCAACCACTGCTTCCTCACATGCCTACAGTAGTTCAGTTACATCTGCTGCTTCCACTGACATTTGGCATCAAAGATTAGGCCATCCTTCTACTCTTAAGTTTCATTTGCTTAAGCATAAATTACCTCTATCTGTAGCTTCCAATAAAAGTACATTTTCTTGTGTACATTGCTCTGTAGCCAAATGCCATAGGCTACCTTTTACGCTGTCTAATTCCACTGTAAATAATCCACTGGCATTGATTCACAGTGATGTATGGGGTCCCTTTAATAAATCTGCTTCTCCTTACAAATACTATGTGTTGTTCATTGATGATTTTACTAGATTCACTTGGCTTTATCCTCTTGTTTATAAAAGTGAAGTGTGTGCCAAATTTATGGAATTCAAAGCTTTTGTGGAAAAACAGTTTGGTTTTTCTCTCAAAATTCTTCATAGTGATGGAGGTGGTGAATACAAGAATCATCCTCTTCAGCATTATCTTCACACTCATGGCATTCACCATCAGTTTTCCTGTCCGCATACTCCCTCTCAAAATGGAGTGGCTGAGAGGAAGCACTTACATCTCACTGAAACTGCTATTTCTCTTCTTCATCAGTCCTCTATGCCACTTCTTTATTGGTTTGATGCCATAGCTGCTGCCACATATTTGATCAATCGTTTACCTAGTGTTTCTCTTAATAATTGCTCTCCTTTTGAGTTGATGTATCATACTGCTCCTGATTACTCTCTACTCAAAGTCTTTGGTTATCTTTGCTTCCCCTAGCTTAAACATTATGCTTCTCATAAGTCGGCTCCTAAGTCGACTCCTTGTGTCTTTCTAGGATATCATCCCAGTGTTAAGGGCTATAGATGTTTAGATCCTCAAACTGGTCACATTCATTTATCTAGACATGTTACTTTTCATGAACATGACTTTCCTTTTTCCTCTTCTCCTTTTGTTTCTTATGTTTCTTCTCTTCCTCTTTTACAGGATTTCTTTTGGTAACCCTCTCCTCAGCATAGTTATTCTCAGTCTGCTCTAGCTCCACAATCTAGTGTCCCGACTACATCTGCACAGCCAGAGTCTCCTTCTGTACAGCCACATTCCTTTTCACACCCTCAGTCCTCTGCTCTAGCACCTCCTGCCCAGTTTGCACAGCCTAGCTCTGCCCTGCCTTCCTCTACCTTATCTCCTTCTGATCCTTCACCACCTACACCTTCTTCCCATCCATCCATTCCTATTAATTCTATTTCTGTTCTTTTACCTCTTCCTCCTCCTGTTGCTATCAATTCTCATCATATGCAAACCCGATCCAAAATCTAATTCTACTTGTTTCTCTTCTACTCTTACTTCTTCTGATGGCTCCTCTCATTCTCCTGATATTGAGCCCATCTCTTATAAATCTGCTCTTGATTCTCCAGTCTAGCTCCAAGCCATGCTTGATGAATATGCCGCTCTTCAACGTCTAGGCACATGGTCTCTTGTTTCCCTACCCCCTTCCAAGCAAGCTATTGGGTGTAAATGGGTCTTCAAAGTTAAGCGGAATTTTGATGGCTCCGTTGCTAGGCACAAAGCCAGACTTGTGGCTAAGGGTTTTCATCAGCAACATTGTATTGACTTTCATGATACCTTTAGCCTGTGGCCAAACAAACCACAATTCGTATTTTTATCTCTTTAGCTTTTCATCATCATTGGCCTCTCAAACAACTTGACATATCTAATGCCTTTTTACATGGCAAGTTGAATGAAGAGGTCTACATGGACCAGCCTCCTGGTTTTGTGGATCCTTCTCAGCCTACTCTTGTTTGCAAACTTCACAAGGCTCTTTATGGTTTGAAACAGGCTCCTCGGGCCTGGTACTCTACTTTCTCCTCTTTTCTTCTCTCTCAAGGATTTCTTCAAAGTCGTTGTGATTCTTCTCTCTTCATTCATTCTATCTCTTCTTCCATTACCTTTCTTCTTCTATATGTCGATTATATACTTCTTACTGGGTCTGATCAGTCCTACCTTAATTCCTTATTAACTCAAATGCACAATGCTTTTTCCATGAAAGAATTAGGGGATATTTCCTATTTCTTAGGTATTTCAGTTCAGTTCACTGCTCAAGGCTTCTTTCTCTCTCAGCAGAAGTATGCCTTGGTGCTTCTTCTTAAAGCTAGCATGACTACCTGCAAGCCTTGTGCTACACCTACCTCAGCTAAACCTTCTCTTACTGCTACTGATTCTCTCCCATTCTCCCAACCTTTTCTTTTTCACAGCCTTGTGGGTGCTCTTCAGTATCTTATTATAACTCGCCCTGAGCTCTCCTATGCTGTCAACCAAGCTTGCCAACATATGCATGCTCCTACTGTGGCTCATTTTTCTGCTGTTAAATGTATCTTACGTTACATTAAAGGTTCCATTTCCCATGGTCTTCTCTTTGTTCTTGGTTCTTTTCATCTCACAGCATACTCTGACTCCAATTGGGTTGCGGATACCACTGACAGACGTTCCACCTCTGGTTACTATGTGTTCTTGGGTTCTAATCTCATTTTGTGGTCCTCCAAGAAACAGTCCACTGTGTCTCGCTCCTCGACTGAGGCTGAATATCGGTCCTTAGCCCACATTGCTGCAGAACTCACTTGGTTACAAATGCTTCTTGCTGATTTTCACATTCCTCAACCATCTCCACCTATTCTTTGGTGTGACAACATGTCTGCTTTGTCCTTGGCTGCTAATTCGGTCTTTTACAGCCACTCTAAACACATTGAAGTAGACTATCATTTCATTCATGAGAAGGTTGGTCGTCACCAATTCTTTCTCAAATATGTTCCTTCTTTGGATCAATTGGCTGACATCTTCACCAAATCTCTGTCCACTGCCAGATTTTCTTTTCTCATTTCCAAGCTTTGTGTTGGTCTTCCCCCTCTCAGCTTGCGGGGGCATGATAAGGAAGAGGTCCAAGAGGTGCATCAAGTGTAATGTGCTGCAGTTGTAGACAATATTTTCCTTAACAGAATGTAACAGATTCAGTTAGCTTAAACTATAGATTAGTTAGAAGTGTGGTTAGTTAGCTTGTAATAGTTTGTAACAGTAGGTAGTTAGAAGCGTGGTTAGGTTAATTCGTTTGTTCACTGTACTGATGTATAAATATGATTTGTAATCTCTTATTATATTCAATGAAGATATTTTAGATTTCAACTTTACCTTTCATCAATATAGTGTTTTATGTTTGACACAAAACTATGAAGTGTGCATATTTCAAATATTTGTTTAGGTGAAGTTGAGAGAGAGACATTCTATAAACAAGTAGTAGTCATACCAAATATGAAGTGATTGAGGCTCGAATTAGTCACATATTCATAGATGAGAAGCCTTTCGGTTCCTTGTAAGCAAAATCCTAGGAGCCTAACCAAATTCCTGAGTTAAAGCTTGGCCACTAGCATAACCTCGTTCTTAAATTCTAGTTCTCCTTGTCCAGAATTCCTAGATAGCCTCTTCACAGCTATTTCTTGTCCATTTGGAAGGCTACCCTGAAGATAGTAGAGTACAATAGTCACTATGCTTTATATAAAAATTCAATTATTTTTATTTATTTATTTTCATTTTAGAACAAGGGATACGCCATATTCGTATGTGAATGCTTGATTTCCCTGTAAACAACACCAAATCCACCTTGTCCAAGCTTATTAGCATCAGAGAAATGATTTGTTGCAATTCTAATGGCATCAAAGTTGTATTGCAAGGATTCCACAACACTAATTTCTTCCGCAGCTTCACAAAATGAACAAGTTAACAATTATATCAATAAAAGTTATAAATGGAAATATAGATTAAGGAGGGATCTTTTAAGTTTCCTTCGAAGATTTACTTTTAAGAAACACACTGAACAATAAAATTTTGTAAATATTAGTGAGTTGCTAGCCATTCGTAGCAAACTAAACTTTTCTATAGTTCTACATTATTTGGAAAAGAGACAATTATCAATGTTGTTCAAATTATTTAAAGGTAATCTATTTCCCTTTTTGATCAGTTAGTGGTTTCAACCGCAAAAATGGAGATTAAAATCGGGAAACTTACGAGTAGGTCTTAATAGGTGGACTTATTGTCCAATAAGTCCTATGATAATTAATGACATTTTTTTTATCAAACACTATTAAAAAACATTACTAATTGTTAATTTTCAGTGACGATTTGAAAATTTTGTCACAAAAAATATCACTAATTATAAATTTTAGAGACAGTTAAAAAAAAATCGTCACAAAAGAAAGTCACTAATTTTCAACTTTCAGTGACATTTTAAAAAATTCTTCATAGAAAAACATTACTAATTGTAAGTTTTAGTAACAATTTATAAAAAAAAACGTGAAAAAAAATCGCTAATTGTCAATTTTTAGCAACATGCAAAAAATCATCACAACAAATTATTTTTAGTAATGATTTTATTATGACTTATTTTCAATAGGATTTAATGGGAATTAAATCCAACTATTAGGACTTACTGGTGGTTTACCCATTAAAATCCAAATATAGAGTTTTAAACAAACATATTAAACTTACTGTCATCTTTCTGCCTTGACTTCCTTTACTTCCTTTTTCTTAAAAAGATGCAAATGAATACTGTGAATATTGTCATAGAATTAATAGATGAAACAATGACAATGATGATTGTTCGAGTTGTATTGTCATTCTTTCTTACAAAAACTAAAAGTTTCTCATTAAATCAAGATAAATTTTGGGTTTAAGAATGTTCCATATGGTTGTAAGTAAATACAGATATGTAATTGTAAAGATCTATACATTGAAAAGTAAAATAATTGCCACATAGCAAGTGTAATCTTCTTGGGGACATTAAAAATTTATGCTTGTTTTATCACCAATTTTCTTGTGAGAGTCTATACTACTATGAAGTGTGCATATTTCAAATATTTGTTTAGGTGAAGTTGAGAGAGAGACATTCTATAAACAAGTAGTAGTCATACCAAATATGAAGTGATTGAGGCTCGAATTAGTCACATATTCATAGATGAGAAGCCTTTCGGTTCCTTGCAAGCAAAATCCTAGGAGCCTAACCAAATTCCTATGTTGAAGCTTGGCAACTAGCATAACCTCGTTCTTAAATTCTAGTTCTCCTTGTCCAGAATTCCTAGATAGCCTCTTCACAGCTATTTCTTGTCCATTTGGAAGGTTGCCCTGAAGATAGTAGAGTACAATAGTCACTATGCTTTATACAAAAATTCAATTATTTTTATTTATTTATTTTCATTTTAGAACAAGGGATACGCCATATTTGTATGCGAATGTTTGATTACCTTGTAAACAACACCAAATCCACCTTGTCCAAGCTTATTAGCATCAGAGAAATGATTTGTTGCAATTCTAATGGTATCAAAGTTGTATTGCAAGGATTCCACAACACTAATTTCTTCTGCAGCTTCACAAAATGAACAAGTTAACAATTATATCAATAAAAGTTATAAATGGAAATATAGATTAAGGAGGGATCTTTTAAGTTTCCTTCGAAGATTTACTTTTAAGAAACACACTGAACAATAAAATTTTGCAAATATTAGTGGTTGCTAGCCATTGTTAGCAAACTAAACTTTTCTATAGTTCTACATTATTTGGAAAAGAGATAATTATCAATGTTGTTCAAATTATTTAAAGGTAATCTATTTCAGTTAGTGGTTTCAACCACAAAAATGGAGATTAAAATCGAGAAACTTACGAGTAGGTCTTAATAGGTGGACTTATTGTCCAATAGGTCCTATGATAATTAATGGCATTTTTTTTATCAAACACTATTAAAAAATATTACTAATTGTTAATTTTCAGCGACGATTTGAAAATTTTGTCACAAAAATTATCACTAATTATAAGTTTTAGAGACAGTTAAAAAAAATCGTCACAAAAGAAAGTCACTAATTTTCAACTTTCAGTGACATTTTAAAAAATTCTTCATAGAAAAACGTTACTAATTGTAAGCTTTAGTAACAATTTATAAAAAAAACGTGACAAAAAAAATCGCTAATTGTCAACTTTTAGCAACATGCAAAAAAATCATCACAACAAATTATTTTAAGTAATGATTTTATTATGACTTATTTTCAATAGGATTTAATGGGTATCAAATCCAACTATTAGGACTTATTGGTGGTTTACCCATTAAAATCCAAATATAGAGTTTTAAACAAACCATATTAAACTTACTGTCATCTTTCTGCCTTGACTTCCTTCGCTTCCTCTTTCTTAAAAAGATGCAAATGAATACAGTGAATATTGTCATAGAAGTAATAGACGAAACAATGACAATGATGATTGTTCGAGTTGTATTGTCATTCTTTCCTGCAAAAACTAAAAGTTTCTCATTAAATCAAGATAAATTTTGGGTTTAAGAATGTTCCATATGGTTGTAAGTAAATACAGATATGTAATTGTAAAGATCTATACAATGAAAAGTAAAATAATTGCCACATAGCAAGTGTAATCTTCTTAGGGACATTAAAAATTTATGCTTGTTTTATCACCAATTTTCTTGTGAGAGTCTATACTGACTCTCACTTTCTAAAATCTTCAACCATCTATTTGTTCCACACTCTCTCTATGTTTATTTCTTTGAGATATTTTTCCCTTCGTAGATATTGCCCTTTTCATAATATCTTTAGGTATTATTTTAGACATTTTGTATAATGATAGAAGGAAATCAGGAGTAAGATAGAGCAAAGTGTCACTTGGGTCCACCCAAAAACTCAAGATCCTATATGTGCATTTGGTGCATTTTATTTTATTTTATTTTATGTTTTTTGATTGGCAAAGAAATTTTATTAACTTGATGTCTTCCTGAGCCCAAGGGCCCCCCAAATGTTTACCTACAGAGCATGCATCCTAATTGAGTGGATGGATACTTTCCGTAACATTAGTGTCCCTCCAAAGGAAGGATCTTTGAATTTTGTCAATTTCCTTTGCGACTTTGATTGTGATTTTGAACAAGAACATGAAATAGAGGGGTAATCTTGATGAGAATGATATGATAAGTGTGATTCTTCCCCCCAAGGAAAGATATTTCCTCTTCTATGAAGATAGCTTTCTTCTTTTTTATTATTTTTTATTTTTTTATTTTTTTATTTTTTGTTGTTGTTGTTGTTGTTGTTGTTGTTATTATTACCGGATCCCATATTCTCACCCTCTTTAGGTTAGCCCCAAGTGGTATGCCAAGATAATTGATAGGGAAGGAGCCTACTTTGCAATGTTGAAAGAAGCCATCTAATTATTGAAATCATTGCAAAGACTGACACCACAGATAACTAATTTATGAATATTGATTTTGAGGCTCAAAGGAAGTTCAAAGCATTAGAGGATGCATTTGAGATTAACGATTTTATTCCAGTCAGGATTACAAAATATTAGTGTCATGAGAGATGTTGAGACCAGATCTACCAATCTCAATTCCTTTCACCAGATGAAGATTATTTGCTTTCTTGAGAAGAGTATTGAGACCTTTAACTACAAAGTTGTAAAAAAAGGGATGGGGATCTCCTTGTCTTAGACCTCATTTTGGTGTCAAATTTTGGAGAAAACGATCCATTAATCAAGACTGAGATGTTGGATGATGAAAGGTACTCTGCAATCCACGAGATCCATTTTTCACCAAAACCAAATTCTCTAAGCATATAGAGAAGGTTGTTCCAGTTAACACTATCAAAGGATTTCTCAAAATCAAGTTTGAAAAGAAAACCTCCCCTTGAATTGTTTTCCTATAGATGACAAGTTCATTGGCAATTAGGATACCATCAAGAATTTGACAATCTTTGACGAAGGTTAACTATGTTTCATCAATAAGCTTAGGGAGAACAATTTTTGTTATGATTATAGACACCTAGAAAATGATCAACAAGCAATCACACACACAAATGAGACACAAATATTTACGTGGTTCGGCCCAATGCCTACATCCACGAGAGAAAGAGAGAAAGCTTCACTATGAACAAAAACAAATACAAAACAAATGAGGAAGAGACTCACTCTCTCAACTAAACTCATAGATCATACACTTCTCACAACTCTCTATTTTTTTCATACTCTGATTTCTATGATATCTATCTCTGCTCACAACTCTTCCCATTTATACACAAACGGGAGACAAAAAATCAACATCTGCTTGCCAACAACCAACTACCAAAATAAATGGCAAGCCATTAACACAGCCACCCTAGGTTGTAAAAAACTTCTGAAAATCTGTAGCACAAAAACTTCCATGGCCAACTTCACATGGTGTGGATGTTCAACAAGTCTCCCTCTCCATACTTATGAAGAGTAGGATCCTTATTGGAAGTTTATCCCAGCAATATCCCTACATACTTCGAGTTTGTCTCTCAAGACCACCTTTGTAAGCATGTCTGCTGGATTCTTATCTGTGTGAATCTTGACCAGTTCCAATAACTATTTATCCATCACTTCGTGTATCCAATGATATCAAACATCAATGTGCTTCATGCCAGAATGGTACATAGAATTCTTGTTTAAGTCTATGGCACTCTGACTATCACAATGTGTCGTGAACTTTTCTTGTTTTAGTCCCAGTTCTTGGAGAAACTGCTTCAACCACAATATCTTTTTCCCAGCTTTCGTTGTGGCAATACACTTTGCCTCGGTTGTGGATAAAGCAACACACTTCTGTAACTTGGACTTCCAAGACACAGCTCATCCTGCAAAAGTAAACAGAAATCTTGATGTAGATTTTTTACCATCAAGATCACTTGCCATATCTGAATCTCTATAACCTTCCAAGATTGGTTTTGCTCCTCCAAAGCATAGACACATTTTAGATGTACCATTAAGGTACCTCAGAATCCACTTGACTACTTCCCAATTCTCTTTCCGTGGATTGGAAAGAAATTTGCTCACTACTCTAACAGCATGAGCAATATCTGGTCAAGTGGACACCATTGCATACATCAAACTCCCTACTGTAGATGAGTAGGGAATTGCCTCCATCTCTTCTCTTTCATTTGTAGATGAGGGACAAGACTTCTTTCTCAACTTGAAATGTTTAGCTAGCGAAGTATTGACTGGCTTGGCATCTTTTACGTTGAACTTTTCAAGCACCCGTTCAACATACTTCTCATGTGACAACCACAACTTCTTGGCTTTCCTATCACGTATAATTTTCATACCCAAAATTTGTTGTGTAGGGCCTAGGTCCTTCATGTCAAAGGACTGTGATAACTCCTTCTTCAGTGATCTGATTGCTGTGGTATCTTGTCCAGCAATCAGCATGTGACCAACATAGAGTAGGAGTATGATGAAGTTTCTACCGAAAATCTCCTGACATATACACACTGGTCTACAACAGTTCTCTTGTACTCATGGTCTACCATGAATGAGCCCAATTTCTTGTACCACTGTCTCGGTGCTTGTTTGAGGCTGTAGAGACTCTTCTTCAATCTGCCGACCAAATTCTCTTTTCCTTTCTCTTCAAAACCTTTTGGCTGCTCCATGTAAATTTCTCTCTCCAAATTACCATGGAGAAACGTTGTCTTCACATCCATCTATTCAAGTTCCAATTTCAAACTAGTTGCTAGTCCCAAAACTACTCGAATGGATGTCATTTTCACAACTGGCGAGAAGATTTCATCAAAATCAATACCTTTATTCTGTCCAAAGCCTTTGACAACCAATCGAGCCTTATACTTAATTAACTTTTCGTTTCCATCTTTCTTCAACTTGAGCACCCACTTGTTCTTTAGTGCTTTTCGACCCTTGGGAAGTTTTACCAAATCATAAGTCTGATTTTTCTACAAGGATGCATCTCTTCTTGCATAGCTTGTTGTTGCCAGCTACTTCTCCTTATGATTCTGAGCATCTTGAAAACTTTTTGGCTACCCCTCATTTGTAAGAAACATATACTCAGAAGCAGGGTATTTTGATGACGGCTTAGTCTCTCTTGTTGATCTTCATAACAGTGGACCAGCAGTCTCTAGCAGAGGGGGTTATGGCTCCCCCTGCTCAACTCCTTTTTCTTCTAGATCTTCTTCTTCTAGAAATCCATCTTGTAACTCTACACCATTGGCTACATGCTGTGGTAGCTCTTCTTCATTAGTGACATGCTGTGATGGTGAAGGATTTGGAACAATTTCTAAAACATCATCAAATTTGGGTTTGGTTGGTTGCTCAAAATCTTCTAAGGTCTGGCCTTCTTGAAACACCATATCTTTGCTTCGAATGGCCTTCTTGTTTTTCGGATCCCACAGTCTATATCCAAATTCTTCATATCCATAGCCAATAAAAATGCATGGAGTAGCCTTATCATCCAGCTTTTGTTTGTGCTTCTTAGATACATATGCAAATGCTTTACACTCGAAACACTGTCAAGTGAGAGTAAGAAATCTTCCTTCCAGATCACACATTTTCTAGAACCTCAAAATTCAATGGAATTGATGGCGATCTGTTGATTAAATAGCAAGCAACACGAACAGCTTCTCCCCAAAATGGCTTTGGCAGCTTTGCCATTTTGACCATACATGACCTTCTCTACAATGGTTCGATTCATTCTCTCAGCTACAGCATTGAGTACGGGGCTCCAGGAATAGCCTTCTCATGTTGGATGCCTCGAGTAGCATAGTAGGCTTCAAACTCTTTTTACGTGTACTCATCTACATTATCTGTTCAGAGACACTTCAGCTTCTTTCCAGTCTCCCTTTCCACCATAGCATGGAATGTCTGAAAATGCTGCTTCAGCTTTGGTCTTTGGGACATATACCCATACCTTCCGTGATGCATTGTCAATAAACGTCAAGAAGTATTTTCTATCACCCAAAGATTCCACTTCTATGGAACCGCATACAACAGAGTATACTATACTCAACAACTTTGATTGTCTTCTGGATGATGAGTGGAAAGCGACTCTATGATGCTTCCCAAATAAGTAGTTGTCACAAGGGTTCAATTTTGCATCTTTAGCAAAGGGAATAAGAGACTTCTTTGCCAGAATCTGTAACCCTTTCTTATTCATGGGACCCAGCCTTTTGTGCCACAAATTTGGTGATGCCTTATCTTTTGCTGCGTTGAGGCTATCTAAAAGCACATTCACATGAGTCATATACAACGTACCAGTTACTTGTCCTCTGTCTACCACCAGAGATCGGTTCTTCAATTTCCACATGCCTTTGTCAAAGTAGTTCTCATAGCCTTATCGATCTAAGGCAATCCATGAAATAAGATTCAGGTGTAAATTGGGAACATGCCTGACATCTTTCAACAGCATCATGCACCCAACTTTGGTTTGGATGTAAACATCATCGACTCCCACACTCTTCGAAAAACTGGAGTTCCCTATCTTTACTGTACCTAAATCTCTAGCTTAGTACGTACTGAAGAACTCTTTTCGGGGTGTGGCATAGTAGAAAGATGTTATATCTACCACCCACTTGGTGTCGTTGTTTGACATATGAAGGCATTCTTCTTCTCCAACAGAGAATAATGCAATATCCTCTGAGACAGTAACTATAGTGTTCCCATCTTTGGTCTTTGGCTGTCTATTGCCTTGTTTTTGTTCTGTCATGCCCCGTATTTTATTACTCGGATAACATTACTAGTATTCATTAATATCAATTTATTCTTCTCAAAATAAATTCCAAAAATCAAAGATGAAAATATTTCAACTTTATATTTCTCAAAATAAATTTTCTAATCATAATATGATGTAGATACAACCCATACGACTATAAAATTTTAATTTTTAGATTTTTAGCAAAAATTTATCAACACAAGGTGATTTTCTCAAATCAATCTCAAAATATCAATATTCTTAACATTTCAACATCATTTTTCTTCAAAAAATTACCAAACAAAAATCTAAGAAATATTATATGTGCAATATCTCCTATAATGATATATTTTCTCAAAATAACCCTAACATAGCTTTAAAGAAATAATATGAAGAAAATCTCTACCTCATAATATGAAGAAAAGTAAATTTGAAAAAGCAAACTTCGCCCGATCAAGAATCCGAGACTACCATTATGAAGATCACGAGGAGCTCTCCGACTTTTATTTATAACACTTTTTGCAAAATATCACTCTAAGGACTCCCATTTGAAACTCAAAGATTGAGCAACACTGG